GAGAGACAGTTCAACTTTTATCTATATCCCCGGCGCAAAATTGCGTTGAAATTCTGTTACCATGGTTGGGACTACAATGGTCTTGCTTTTCAAACTGAACCCACCCCCTTGCCTACAGTGGAAGGAGTGCTATTCGATGCACTATCGAAAGCAAGATTGATTGACCCCGACGCAGGGTTTGAAGGTTGTGACTGGTCGAGGTGTGGTCGTACAGATAGCGGAGTCAGCTCGGCGGGCCAGGTCGTTGCAGTTCGAGTCAGGAGCACTCTGCGACCACTTGCAACTGTGGAAGAGGCAGACGCTGCAATTTCATCAAGCACACCCCCAGAGCCTGAAATCCAATACTTGCGGGTCTTGAACCGTATCCTCCCGGACAGTATACGCATAATTGCTTGGGCATCAGTGCGAGAAAACTTTTCGGCACGATTCGATTGTCGCTATCGACATTACAAGTACTTCTTCAACTCCTTACCACCACCATCGGGTCCTCTCGACATCGACTTGATGCAAGAAGCCGCCAGTCGGCTGGTGGGGACCCATGACTTCCGCAACTTCTGCAAACTGGATGGAAGCAAGCAGATCGAACGATATGATCGGCGCGTCAATTCTGCCGCCATTTCGCGAGTAAAAAGTACAACAGAGGGCGATGAGACCCTCTTTGTCCTCGATTTAATTGGATCTGCTTTCCTATGGCACCAGGTTCGACACATTATGGCGATCCTATTCCTAGTAGGACAGCGCTTGGAAGATGTTGACATTGTGGACACATTGCTCAATGCGAATCCCGAGCGCCCAAACCCTGATGCCAGCATCCCACTCCTCCCAAACCGGCCCCTTTACGATATGGCGGATGGTCTCCCTCTGGTTCTGTGGGAATGCGGTTTCGATAAGGACGACGTCACATGGCGAACGGACGAGCCAGAAAGCACTGAAGTAACGAAGCCTACGGCGTCACCATCGACAGTTCAGCTTCTTGAATCAATGAATTCGTCACATACCTCATCCGTCATCCGCACCGCTCTTCTTCGTCATTTCCTCGAAGCAGCAGAGGTTCACCATGAGTCAGCAAGTGACAGATTAGTGCGCTTGCAGCGAGGGGGAGGGCACATACAGCATATCAACAAATATGTACCTCTTCTCAAACGCAAGCGAGGTCCAACTCCGGCAGAAGTGAATGAGAATTGGAGGAAAGGTCGTGGTCAAGTGCTTATGGACAGGCGCGCTCGTGCCAAAGCTATTGACCCTTCAGTAGAGAAACGTCTCCCTGACGCTGAAGAGTAAAATTCGGGTACGTAAGCCTACCACATTAATTCAGATCGATTCTGAGATATTACAGAGTTATAGCTCGATGCCTACTATCGACACAGTACTATGATACAATAGGGGTATAGATAATACAGAAAAAGGAAGCGTCTATGATGGGGAGCGAATCAAGGAGATGAAGATCAGAGAACAGGCAGTTATCCGTCCCGTGTTCAAACACGGTAACGGTCGTGGTTATATGGCTTCATGCCTAGAAGGCGTTTGACTCTATCTGCGACGGTACCCTAGCAGTCAAGTCAGTCTACTTATCAAATTGGGAACGGAGGCGTCGAATACCTACGTCTTCGTGGCCATGGCGTCTACCTGGATCGCGGGTGCTGGTGTCGTTTGTTGTGTGATGGTGACGCCCACGGTGCTCGTCGTGTCGATGAACATGGCGACCACGGTCATAGTGCTCGTAGCGAACAGGTTCGGTATGTCGCTGCCTTGGCTGAACATAGTAGACCGAGCTTGAGCGATGTCGACGAGGCTCTCCATAGTCTCGTGAGCGACCGTCTGTCACATAGACGACAGGCCGAGTACTGGTTGGGACGGAGCTTCGACGATGATTGGATGATGGGTAGTAGTAGTACGTGTCACCGTGAGGTGAGGAGCTGTAGTGGGATCCAGAATGGCTACCGCTTGCATGGCTTCCTGATCTCGAATGACCAGAACGAGAGTGGCCAGCGGTATAGTAGACAGGTTCCCTGTGGTAGTAGGACATTTGATAAACTCAAGGAGGTTGGGCAGTAAAAGTCTAAGAAACTTAGAAGTCGATGACGGACCGGCCTGGATTTATAGGAGAGCTTCAGGCTGGTTCGACGTCACAACATTGTGCGGCGCACCCGGCGGCCATGGTGGGGCTCCCGCCTCAACGCTCCTCGCTCACCGCACAAAAGTTGCGCACCAGGGAACAATTGAAAAATGTCGTGTTATTCAATGCCAGTACTTCTGCACAAATGGAGCCACTACGCGCCATGCTTCGTCAACTGCTGCAACGATCGACTCTGGCAAGGGCCCTTTCTCAAGGTCAATGAGATTCTAATCTTGCGTAAGACCAACAGTGAATCATCGATATTTGACCGGTGTCACCCACCTGCTCCAAATGCTCTTTCTTGGAGGCGCCAATGATCACAGCATCGTGGTGCTCGCTGGAAACATGAGGCATGAGACACCAACAATTTCAGTCTAGTTGAGATGTCCTAACCGTTTCATAAGGCTGTGATGTGATATCCACCTCAGAGCCACCTCTGGAATCGTCAAGTTCTCCTTCTCCGCCGCTTCCGCGATGATGGAGAGTGCCTTGAAGTTGTGATCGTTCCAATATCTCTTGCGGTAGTTGATCGATTGACTAGTCCCTTTGGCACTATCAAACCGAGAGCCTGGTTCCGCCTGTGAGGCTGCATCCTTGTACCGACCTGCAGGGAGCACTCAGCCACTTTGCCCGTGCTCCATTGATCTAATACTTGCCCGTCAAGAAGCCACCGGAGAGTGGATTGTATGCATAGAATGAGATTCCAACTGCAATTATGTATGTGTTAGCTTATGATTGCCGATGAGCCAGTGTCTCAGACAAACATTTGTTCAAGGCTGGGAAAAGCTCGGGCTCCACCGCTCGGTGAATAGCGTTGTAGATTCCCTAATGACATAATTATCTAATCTATGGGGCCCCATGAAAGAACCTTACCTGATAAACGGTAGGCTGAATCCAGCCGTTATGCCGACAGAGAGTGACGATCTCGGCAACTTCCCAACTAGATTCATTAGCTATTGACAATTGCCAATGACGTCTTTTATGATGAACTTACGCCATATAGTTGGAAATACCGAGCTAAATCCAAGGTTAAGTTTAGTAGAATTCAAAAATGACGCCGGTGCCACTAACCTTGTCGAACTTTCCTTCCTTATGAAGCTCATCCACCGCTTTAAATGTGACTTCCCAAGGGGTGGTCCGGTCAGGTGCATGAAGATAGAAAAGTTCAACCTTATCGGCCCTGAGGGCCGTTAGTGAAGCTTGCAGAGTTTTCCTGAGATCCTCCGGTGTGTGACGAGCGGTTGGACCCGGATACAATTTCGTCTCTACGACCAGACCGCGACCTTGCCACCCGATCTATATATAGAGTCAGCCGTATGCACAAGTGTACCTATTCGAACTTGCATCTCCTAGGAGGCGTTCCGATGTTCCATTAGTGTAGACCCTCGCAGTATCGACCTGTTTAGATAATCATTAGAATGATGAATCGCTGAATGTTCAGGATGCCTGCTTCGGTGTGTCCATGCTTTTGAAAGACGTCAAGGATCGCATTGATCTCATCCGTCGAGTGGGTTCTGGCCGACTCAGAGTCCTTGTCGCCGAACGTCATGGCTCCCTATGCATTGTTACTTGCTGTTACTACAATTGCGACAGAGAACTGGCGTACGAAAACCACATTGAGCTCTGATTTCGCACTCATTGATGAGGAGGTGATAGCAGGAGAAGATTCGGATAGCGGGCCGCCCACATGCCACCGATATGATTTGTCATAGCGTTAGCGTACTTTCCGCACTTGTAGTATAATGTGGAAGGAGGTTTATTGGAACAGATCCCGGTGTACAATTTGATAAGATATGTCTATTTGCATCTTTGGCTTACAATCTCTCTTCCATGTTCCTGCAAGAGAATTAGAGAAGAATCAACAAATTAGAGTGAGCCTACCAAAAATTCCGCCCGACTAATCCACAACTGATGGAATGTACCCAAGCTAGCGAGAATACTTCCACCTATCCAGGCACTATACTGCCTCTCGATGACGTTACTCGCCGCTGATAGTTTAAATTTCTACAGAATGCAAGTAAGCAAGGAGCTTGGCCGAATTCAGGACAAACTCACTCCGGGCCACATTTTGTTCATCTCGTTGTTGAGCCTCTCGACGAAACCAGGAAGCAACGACCCTCCCCCTGTGAGCACAGTGTTTTGGAGTAATTGACCCTTGAGGTCTGGCTCGCATGCAGCGATGGAGTTATGCAAAAGAGCTGGGATGGCTGGTGGAAGATTGGGAGAGGCCTGTGGATGTTGTCATTAGCCCAGTATCTATCGATAGCTAAACGACTTACACCAAATGCATCCAATGAGAAGAAACACTCTCCAGGAAGGAATCGTTCTTGGTAGAACGTAGTAGCAAATCCAGTGGGGAATTCATATTGTTTGCCGGGGCGCTGCATTCCTTGCCTTCTCAAAAGGTCAGGGGTTGTAGATTGGCATAGGGAAGAAGAACGAACTGGCTGGCATAAGACACGTCGAAAACACCGCCCACAGCTTGCAACCATTCCTCCAACTCTCGGGTCCTCGCCCAGCTGTTCCAACTCTCAGTTGTTGCTTCGCGTCGATCTTCTCGTGGTCGGAATTGCGGTGGTGCATCCATTGGGACAGGCATCTTGGCAGCAATGAGCTGATGGGAGATAAGATCGATTGGATTTTGTCGTTTGCTCAGGATTTGATTGGCACTCAATTGCTGTAACATGGAGACATCCGATCTTTGTATGCCTATCCTCTGATTCAGTCATTCCAAAATCTTGTTTGGATATCGATTTCACCTTTACGAAGAACAAATCCGTCGACAACAGGGACTACACTTGTCCAATGGCTTCCAACATCGACAATCAGTGCCGTTCCCCGTCCTGATGCGAAACTTATTCAATCAGGTAAGATTATGACGTGGCATAACATAAGAGTAAGTCGACTGACGCAGATAAGACCCCAGAATTGGCAATATAGAAGGCGGGAACCTTGAACTCCTCAAATAAAATTTCGGCCATACGCTCTCTATTGGCGGGAGTATTCCAAGCTGGTTCAGTCACAAGAACAGGGTGGTCCGCCGGATCGCAATACAGTGTGTCGTTGAAGGCGTGATTGATGATGTTGGGGATGTAAGTAAAATCTTCTACTGTGAGTTGAGAGTCAGTGAAAGTCGAATTGGATAGCAAAAACACCCATACACAATCCCTCGCGGAATGGACTCCCAACTTCTTGTCGAGGCTTCCATAATGCAGGTCCAAAATCCCCACACCATACCTTCTTCTTTGTGACACTTTGACCATTTTCTTCAACTGTTTCGTCTCTATACCCATATGACGTCGAAAAGACGCTCTTTGGACTGTCATCACCCGCGTATCCAGCGCGAACGGTGTGGGCTCCAATGTCGAGCACCAGAGCAGAGACATCATCTGTTTACAAGTGTAGAAAAAGGAGCTTAGTGGGTGTTACGACTCAAATCTGGAGTGTCTTACCACCGCCGTAAACGACCATAGTGTAGTAGCTTTCAACTTCTCGATGTTTGGTCTTCGGCGCGCCTGACAAACATTGCCGCTTTTTCGCCAGACATGGCTCAACCAACAACGAATGGAACAACAAAAAAGAGACGAAAGGACGATATCAAGTCTTTTGAAAGAGATGACTTGCCCGCACTAGGAAATTTGGACATAGATTCAGACGACCAGGGTGCCTCCAGCGGTGACGACGGTGAAATGGACGAATTTCCTGAACTTGATACCGATGATTCAGATGAATCTACCGAGGCAGAGCAAGATGAGGACACTAAAGGGACAGAAAACGAATTAAAAGCCACTCAAAAGCCAGGAGAGCTGGTGGTGTCGTCTATCACAGGACGTTTAAAACGTGTATATCCAGAAATTGAACCTGAATATGATTCGGACTCTTCTACAGAAGATGTATGCATTTTACCCAGACTATAAAAGTTGTACTAATCAAGCCCTAGGCACCCAATCGCACAGGCAATGTGCCTTCTCACTGGTATGATGACTTACCACATATCGGGTATGATATCAATGGCCAAAGAGTGCTACGACCAGCTAAAGGCGATGAGCTGGACAAATTTCTCCAGACAGAAGAAAACCCTGAAAGCTGGTGAGTTTCTCCTTTCTATTCGAAAGGTACGTTCTCACGAGATCAGGACGTCTGCTTTTGATCGGAATCTTCAAACAGACAAGCCCCTGTCTTCTCAGGAGCTAGACATCATCCGCCGACTCTATGCAGGAGAAAACCCCGATGCTGGTTACGACCCCTACGAACCAACCGTGGAATGGTTCACCGGAAAGGGAAAAGAGGAGATAATGCCTCTCAGTGCAGCCCCCGAACCTAAAAGACGGTTCGTCCCAAGTAAATGGGAAAAGCAAAAAGTATGACCGGTTATTATTTTATCATCGGGTGAATTACTGAAATACCGTTCTATAGGTTATGAAGATAGTTCGCGCCATCAGACAGGGTCGTATAGTCCCCAATAAACCCAAGACACTCGATGACAAGCCTCAATTCTACTCATTATGGGACACACCAGGACCCGATCACCCACC